TTCTATGATGGGGCTATGGAACTGATGGACAGGGGTAGAGCAGTTGATGTCATCTACCAGCACTTGTGCAAAGTGTTCAACACTGCCCCGCATGATATCCTTGTCTCTAAATTGGAAAGACACCAATTTGATAGGTGGACCACTCGGTGGATATGGCTGGATGGCCAGATGCAAAGAGTTGTGGTCAATGGCTCAATGTCCGGCTGGAGACCAGTAACAAGTGGTGTCCCTCAGGGATCGGGGTTGGGACCAGTCTTGTTCAACATCTTTGTCAGTGGCATTGACAGTGGGATTGAGTGCGCCCTCAGCAAGTTTGCCGATGACACCAAGCTGTGTGGTTTGGTTGATACGCTGGAGAGAAGGAATGCCATCCAGAGGGACCTTGACATGCTTGTGAGGTGGGCTGATGCCAACTTTATGAAGTTTAACCATGCCAAGAGCAAGGTCCTACACCTGGGTCGGAGCAATCCCAGGCACAGCTACAGGTTGGCCAGAGAAGAGATTCCGAGCAGCCCTGCAGAGAAGGACTTGGGGGTATTGGTCAATGAGGAAATGAACATGAGCTGGCAGTGTGCACTTGCAGCCCAGAACGCCAACCGTATCCTGGGCTGCATCAAAAGCAGTGTGACCAAGCAGGTCAAAGGAGGTGATCCTGCCCCTCTACTCTGCTCTTGTGAGACCTCACTTGGAGTATTGTGTGCAGTTCTGGTGTCCTCAACATCAAAAGGACATGGAACTGTTGGAACAAGTCCAGAGGAGGGCCACGAGGATGATCAGGGAACTGGAGCACCTCCCATATGAAGATAGGCTGAGAAAATTGGGGCTGTTCAGCCTGGAGAAGAGAAGGCTGCGTGGAGACCTGATAGCAGCCTGCCAGTATCTGAAGGGGGCCTATAAGGATGATGGGAATGGACTATTCATTAGGGACTGTAGCAATAGGACAAGGGGTAACGGGCTCAAACTTAAACAGGGGAAGTTTAGACTGGATATAAGGAGGAAGTTCTTTACTGTTATGGTGGTGAGGCACTGGAATAGGTTGCCCAGGGAAGTTGTGAATGCTCCATCCCTGGCAGTGCTCAAGGCCAGGTTGGACAGAGCCTTGGGTGACATGGTTAAGTGTTAGGTGTCCCTGCCCATGGCAGAGGGGATGGAACTAGATGATCTTAAGGTCCTTTCCAATCCTAACTATTCTATGATTCTATGATTCTAATGAAGCACGTTGTAGCTCCATTTAAATTGTGTTGGTAATTTTTTTTTGTTTAAATTGATAATATAGACATGTTTGACAATATTATACCACAGTCACATGCTGTGGTCATCGTGGGGGATTTTAACTTCCCTGATGTTTGCTGGAAGGACCACTCAGCAACCCAGCCACAGTCCAGGAGGTTCCTCCAGTGTATGGATGATAACTTCCTCCTGCAAATGGCGGATGAGCCAACCAGGAGAGGAGCGTTGCTGGATCTCATCCTCACTAACAAGGAGGATCTGGTCGAAGCAGTAAGGGTTGAGGGCTGCCTTGGTTGCAGCGACCACGAGATGGTGGAGTTCAGGATCTTGTGCGGTAGGACTAGTAGAATAGCAAGTAGAATTGCAACCCTGGACTTTAGCAGGGCAAACTTTGGCCTTTTCAAGCAATTGCTAGGGGAAATCCCATGGGCAAGGCTGCTTGAAGGTAAAGGGACCCAAGATAGTTGGTTGACATTCAAGGATTGCTTTTTCCGAGCTCAAGATCAGAGCATCCCGACACGTAGGAAGTCAAGGAAGAGGGCCAGGAGACCTGTGTGGCTAAATAGGGAATTGATGGGTATGCTCAAGTGGAAGAGGAGAGTTTACAGGTCATGGAAGGAGGGGCTGGCCACCTGGGAGGAATATAAGGCTGCTGCTAGAGGATGTAGGAAGGCAGCTAGGATGACTAAGGCCTCCTTAGAATTAAACCTGGCGAGAAGGGTCAAGGACAGCAAAAAGAGCTTTTTCAAATACATGGCAGATAAAACTAACACCAGAGGCAATGTAGGCCCACTGATGAACGGGATGGGTGCCCTAGTGACAGAAGATACAGAGATGGCAGAGTTACTGAATGCCTTCTTTGTCTCTGTCTACTGTGCTGCAGGCAGTCCTGAAGAGCCCTGTACCCCTGAGACCTCAGATGAAGTCAGGTCAACGGAGCGGTTTGCCTTAGTCAATGAGGAATGGGTTAGAGACCAGTTGAGCAATCTGGACATCCATAAATCCATGGGTCCAGATGGGATGCACCCGCGGGTGCTGAGGGAACTGGCGGAAGTCATTGCTAGACCGCTCTCCATCATCTTTACCAAGTCTTGGGAAACGGGAGAGGTGCCTGAGGACTGGAGGAAAGCAAATGTCACTCCAGTCTTCAAAAAGGGCAAGAAGGAGGACCTGGGTAACTATAGACCGGTCAGCCTCACCTCCATCCCTGGGAAAGTGATGGAACACCTTATCCTTGGTGCCATCTTAAGGCATATCAAGGATAAGAGGGTTATGAGGGGCAGTCAACGTGGCTTCACCAAGGGTCATGTTTGACCAATCTCTTAGCCTTTTATGAGGAAATAACACAGTGGATGGATGATGGCAGAGCGGTGGATGTGGTCTACCTTGACTTAGCAAAGCATTTGACACAGTCAAGAAGGACAGGGACCTGCTGGAGAGAGTCCAGTGCAGGGCAACGAAGATGATTAAGGGAGTGGAGCATCTCTCTTATGAGGAAAGACTGAGGGAGCTGGGTGTCTATAGTTTGGAGAAGAGGAGACTGAGGGGTGACCTTATTAGGGTCTATAAATATATAAAGGGGGAGTGTCACGAGGATGGAGCCAGGCTCTACTCAGTGGCAAACAATGATAGGACAAGGGGTAATGGGTACAAACTGGAACACAAGAGGTTCCACTGAAACTTGAGAAGAAACTTCTTCTCAGTGAGGGTGACAGAACACTGGAACAGGCTGCCCAGGGAGGTTGTGGAGTCTCCTTCCCTGGAGACATTCAAAACCCGCCTGGACACATTCCTGTGTAACCTTATTTAGGTGTTCCTGCTCCGGCAGGGGGATTGGACTAGATGATCTTTCGAGGTCCCTTCCAATCTCTAGCATACTGTGATACTGTGTGATACTGTGATCTTAAGGTCTTTTCCAACCCTAACTATTCTATGATTCTATGATTCTAAATAGACCTGGTGTTATGACATTACTCACAGGAATGCTGCTTTTCTACATGTCTGTACGTTTCTCTTGGGGATGATATTTGCAATAGTATGCTTAGATGGTTAAAATAGGCAATGTACATTAAAACCACATCCTATTACATATACTAGCATCACTCTATAGATGGTATGCACCTACATGTTTATAGCTTGAAGTAAAAGCTGGTATCTAGGAAGTCAGTATTTGAGAGCAAGAGATTTAAGAGAACAATGAACAGCTTGCAAATTATTTTAAGGAATGAAAATATATTTTATCAATAATCTGAAAATCTTTATTAGCTAGATATTTACAAATCAGGAATGGCTAATAGAGATTGTTCTTCTGGTAGAGACACAAGACACTATTAGAAATAATAATGTTAAATCATTATAATAAAAGGTGGAATGAGGGGGAAATACAAATTACAGACAAAGATGAAGTAGCAATTAAGAGAGAAATAACAGACTGTCGAAAGAAGGAAATTCATAAAAGGGAAGTTGAGGGGTAATATGAAAGAAGAAGAGAGAATTAAATAGGAGGAGACCAAAGAACGATGTTTCTCCCTTCATACATTCTTACTGTGAGACGGACTACAGAAAAGAAGGCTCAGAGTGCTCCACAGCTGGGAAGAGACATCTGAAGTAACACACTGTGAGCGGACTCGGAAGAGAGGAAAGGACTGGAAAAGGAGAATAATACTACAAGTACCTACAAAGAACAAAGTAGAACAAGGCAATTATGATACAGACAGACTATTTTTCAGAACATAACATATGGAGAATATTTTGAGCAGAAAATCAAGAAAGTACTCCTATGTGTCAGTGGAGTGGCAGGGGCAGGCGGAGTGACAGAAAGAATGAAGAGGAAGTCATTAAGTTAGGGGAAAAGACAGAGAATGGGGGAAACTTCTTACCCTTTTAAACCATGATATTTGCTAAGCTGCAAAGTCCATTTAATACAATCTGATTTCATATGGTAGATAGGAAAGTATAATTATCCTCTACTTTATACAAGATTAACTTCACTTACTTCAGTGAAGAAGCCACTGGTGTAAAATTCAGTCTCTGCTTCCAAACTGTCACAGCTCTGAACGCCATGGTTCAGGATTAAAACTTAATATGCTTCGGTATTTCCAGGACAGCCACGACTACTACATGTTCACAAATATTTCATATACCATGCTTCATTTGCATATGCAAGCAAAGAATTGTAGAGATGTTTGGAATGCACTATTTTTACTATGCACATCTGTAATAGAAGCTGTGGTTTTGGCACCTCAAATAATAAGAATATATATGAAATATATTTTTAACAGGGAAAACCGAAGGTTGGTACTTTTGTGAATTTGAGAACTTTATAAGAAACTTAATCAAGGTAAATAAACATATGACACCATGGTCTAAAGTAGCCTAGAAACTCACTGTTTCTTTGTATTTGTTTAATTCGGTGAATTGCACAGACTACTCATATAGATGTAAGACAATGCCATAGAGTAGCTGGATGATGAATATATGAATACATCTTGTTTCTAGAGTGCAAAGTACAATTTGCCCAGGACTGTCTGTTAAAGCATTCAAGAGTAAGAGAGACTCTCTACAGTCAACATGCGTGTGGTATCCTGTTTTCTTAATATGAATGTTCCAAGTAACATGCAAGGTTGCATTTGATGGCTTCCTATAATCTCAACTGTAATATGTTTTACATAAAATCAATGATACAATAACTGTCATAATTTTGTCAACAATAGCATGCGGCATTTTAACTTGTTAAAAGCTTGTTGAATGTAACAGTTTGTTTTCCTTACCCATTTCAGACATCTCTGGCACAGTAACAATGTATGGTCCATCTGTAAATTTTGGTGCATTGTCATTGATATCCTGCACCTTGATAATAAATTCAGATTCAGGCTCGAGTGGTTTGTTTGTCCGTCTATCAATAGCTTGGGCATGAAGCACATAGTGTGTCTTCTGCTCTCGATCTAGGCTTTTGGTTGAATGGATGTCTCCAGTCGTGTCATCAATAATAAAGATAGTCCCTGCGCCTTCTCCAGTAAGAATGTACTTGACTGATCCATCACCTTTGTCAGAATTGGAGTGCAGCTGTAAAATATAAACACATAAAATCATATAAAATGACCTATTAAACTTCATAAAAGGTTATTTCACAAAAGATCTAAAAACTGTAATATTTCTGTTAGCACCATCCTACTTAGTTTTTAACCTTCCCATCTCTTGTTGTAATCCCTTATGTGGCATTGCTGTCAATTCGATCATTTTGTTCAGGATCATAATCACCCAGCATAGTTCACTTTTAAAGATGGGATTTTTTTGGTGCATGTCCATTCTAGAAAACTTTCCTAAGTTAAGAATATTATAGTAACTGGGGTGGCTTTTATTTTATTATGGTTTGGTTTTAGTCCTTTCAGCAGTCACCATACAGCATTCATTGCAGAAACTGCCTTAAGCACTAAGCCTGAAGCTGTCCCACTGAGGACTGCTTGCCTCAATGACATAGTTCAGTCCCACCACCTATGTTATCTTCTGTGGCCGCAAAGATAGCATAGTTTACACAAAAGGAAACTGTGTAGTGTGACAGCGACAGATGTATGTCCAGGACTACCCTACCGCACAACAAAATACATCCGTTTTCCCTCAGTTTTTCTTGTTTCGTTCTAATTATAAACTCACCTAATTTGCTTGTATTTAAATTATTTCTAATGAAGCACTGAACTTCAGCATTTTCATTTGCATACTTCCATCATACATTTCGTTTTCATTTGCATACTTCCAGCATTTTCACGGCTCACACACTCTGTGCTATAAAATATACATTTAATATATTACCCCTCCTTCAGGAGAATAAAGCTTGCATTTATTGGGGGGCGAGGGGTAAGGAAAAGTTACAAAGTACCCTGGTGTACTGAGAGATAACATGAAAATGAAAAAGCTATCCACATTAAGCCCCAGTGCTTCTAACTTGACTTTGAAGAATTGCCTGTTTAGATTAAAATTCAACATGTGTTCCCTGAGAAGGAGGGGTAATTTTTGATAGATTGAGAAGTTTGTGTTTTTTTTTTTCCTTTAGAACTACTCTGAGAACAGAATGTATTTATTGAGGTGCACAATGAGAACAAAGTGATAATGCAGAAATGAACAGCCTCAGGTATTGTGCAGTTATATTGTGATGCTAAATCAGAAGGGAAACTTCCTAATTTTAAGAACTCATTCTTATTCTTATCTCAGTGCTCTGACTATCTCTCAATATCTGCATCATGGCATTACTAAGTTTTAGTTTCCAGACTCCTTTCCACTCTCAGTTCAGAAACCATTTAAGTTTGGATAGAGAAAATAGATTTTTGAGTGTCCAAACCATCTTTTTCTGACTTAAATCATACAGAGATGCTGATATTTTCTCTCTACTTTTTTTTTTTTGCCAGTTCTTTGTCTTGCCTTTAAAATTATCTAGTTTGCTCTTTGTAAAAAAAAGCAAGCATATGGGGCTTGATAACACTTTTTACTCTTGTGTACCAAATCTATGAAATTATTTATATAATTTATATCTTGTCTTGTATGGAGGGGTAGGAGGGAAAAATCTAATAAAATTAAGATTGTCAGATCATCTAAACTTCAGCGTAACTTCAGTCAATGCACCACGCACTTATGTCAGCTACAGGAAGATCTGACTGGATAACCAAACCAAAGCAGGGTCACCACGGTGGACCCATTTTTTTTATTTTGAAAATGGAAGAGAGAAAGAAGCAGAGAAAGGGTCTGCTTGCTTGGCTTTGCTTTTATAGGACAGCAGGACAGTCTTAAAACTTTCCTTTAAAGAAGAGATGGGCAAAATTCTGGTTACATCTCTTTTTGTCCTCAGAATAATACTGTATTCTGATAAGACAGGAATAATTCACTCAATGTAAAAGGTCAGAGATCCAAACTTCCTATGAAGTCAAAATGTTACTGGAAGTTATTTATTCCTAAAAACAAGAATAGGAGGTAGTCTGGTATTCTGATCTTGGTTTGCTCGTATTCCAGTTTTTCAGAAACAATCAGAATTGAGTATCTCTTGCTGCAGGTTCCTTTTTTGATAAAACTATTCCTAAGTGTTAGTGTTTGCAAATGTTAACAATTGTCTTTAATTTATACAGAAAAAAGCCAACAAACACCTCCCCCCCCCCCAAAAAAAAAAAACAAAAAAAACAAACCAAAAACAAAAGCCAAGAAAGCAATGAGAAAATTTGTATGCACAGGAAAATGACAAATTTCATTAGTTTCTGAAGATATAAGGGACCCAATTTGAAATTACCCCAAAGTGAAAAAGATCAGAAGAATTTCCATCATTGTCTCCTTTTAACTCCGCATGCATATATGCAAAAGCATATTCAGGTATACTATACAAAGGTCCAGCAAAAAACACTGTGTTCATAACTGGAATTATGGAAAGTATAAAGCAACTAAGAAATTGATTACATAGGTAATAAACCAATAAGGATAACAATAAGAATAAGGAACTGCTGTAGAGTTTAAGAAATAAGCTTTCTTCAAAAAATCCAAATAGACATGGTATTCCAATACCAGACTGTAAAAAGGCACACCCAGAAATTCACTGTAATAGTACAAATGGAAATATCAGATATTATTCATTATGAAGAAATAACTATTTGTACTTGTCATTAATGATGAAAATGCAGGTACATTTTGAGTCACAGGGCTTTTATATCTATCAAGTAATAAAAGTTAAGAAGCACAAAAGATTCTCAGCTGACTACACGGCCAACCAGTGATTCCTGCTAAACATCCCTTTATCCAACAAACTTCAATTGAAAAATGTAATCAGGAATCAGCTGACAATTTTAATTAATTATATTAACATTAATTACGAATATTAATAAATCAATAGCCTTCAATTTGCAACTGGGTCTTTTACACTGCAGTTGTAAGGCAACAACCAAAACCAAGAGAAAGCTAAGAGCAGTTCCTGCTTCCTTACTTCCTGATATCTTACATTGTTTGGAATATAACACTTTGATTTACGCCTTTTAATTTCTATGCTGAATTTTAAATTCACACAGGAAGATTTTGCATGGCATTTCTACTGCATAACAAAAGTGACTTTCCTTTGTCACTTGTTATATTTTGAGTTTTTCTGTAAGGCAAAGATTAAATAACTGTTTGTCTTCTTTAATACTTCTATCTCAGTATAAATTGGCCCAAGTAAAAAAAAGTATCAAGGCTTCCCTCAAACACGTTTACAATATGGGTTGTGCTGAAGACAGCCCCTGGGAATCTCCACTTAAGACAATGCCTACCAGACTAATGAGAGATTCATGTCCCTCAGCACTTCTTTCTTTTCCCTGTGTACTATGAAATCAACTTCACAACAGGTGGTTGTGGAATAAACAGGTGCTTTGTTCCACAAAAGCATTTCTAACTAGAATAAATGGGATTCACTGTTACAAATACATGGTTTGGGAGACTGAAATTCTGCAGCTATGTCTATAACGGTTTATAAAAGACAGCAAGGGAGAAAAATCTATCTGGTCAATAGTGAACTTTCTCTCTACTTGGGACTGCTGTAACTATTTCTCTTTCAGATTTATTTGACAGAGAGGGGGGAATGCACTAAGCAACACAGACTCAAGCCAACACATGTTCTGTTCACCAGTTTAGACATAACCTGTGTGATCTGGGAAGCCATCTCAACCCAGATCCCTAGAAAGGGTGTGGACATTCAATTTCTCTCTGCCAATGACTACTGCAATAACATGTATACACTAGAAGATGAGATACGTGATGTAGTAAAATGAATAAATAGCTTTGATAAACACTAAGTAGGTGTTTTTTTTCCCCCTGCTGTGCCAGACAGAGACATAAAGTTGGAACATTACAGGGGTCTCTTAATTTAAAGAGAAATATAAGCAAATCGCAAACTGAAACGTGATTACTCATAATGTTGAGATGAGTAATGAGCACTTAAAAGAAATACAAGGGAAATAAGACAAACATTAGAACACAACTCTGATTTATGTATCTGAGGTTTTAACTACGACTATGAAAACATAACTGAAATTGTTTTTCAGTAGGCCTTTGCTTCTATGATAGTCCACTGCATCTGGTGATTATAGACTGATTTGTGATATCAACTTTTGACTGCTACTTAAGGAAGCTTTTTTTTCTGCTTAAATTATTTTGACTTGCTTCCCTGAGCAATCTCACCTTAGACCCGAAACCATTTCAAAAATGACTTTGCTTAGAGGCTGTAAGTACTGGAGACTATAGAGCTTGCACTCACCATTTGGCCTTCCCTAGCTGCCAGGGCTCCCCAACCCTACCCGTGGCTCAGTAACTCACTGCAGCCCCACAGTGACACAATCCCCAGGAAGCTGCCTTACTCTGCTGCTCCCTAACCGCAACATCTCCAATCTCTGAACTTCCAGCCATGACAGGCTTCTGAATTCCTTGTGGAAATGCAGTTTCTACCCTATTTGATGGGTTGGCTTCTGAAAACATTCCTTATCATTGCTGATCTGGTTATGTTCCTATCAAGAACATATCCATTAATTATCCTGAAACTGTCCAGAACCAGAAACTACCAGAAAGTATTTAATTTTCATACCCTACTGGGCATTATTCATATTTTTATTTCTCTGATTTTTTAGGAAAAGAAGTGAGAAGAATAGATGAAGAGCCTATCTAGAGTGTCATCTTTTATCAACACAGTGGGCTCCACTTCTTGACATATTTAATAACAAGTTGGATTCAGGATGATTTATGACAGTTCTCAATACTTAGCTGGTCTGTATCAGCAGTGTATGACTAATTTTGCAGAATAGCGACCAAGATGTCCTAGTTTTGCTAAGATTTAAACATTTTTCTTCCATCAGTCCATTTAAATGTTTCAACTTTCTTTTAGTATTCCTGCAGAAAGGGTAGAAAGGCTGTATTTTCCGAAGGCATGATCTGAAGAGGCATACCAAACATTTCAGTTTCTTAAGAGTTTTCTTTATATTCTTATTATTAATTTTGATACTATGAGTCTTGAAATACTTATAATTTGAAGCACCAGTATATTAACTGGTGTAAAATGAATGCACACATTG